CCGCCCCGCCGCGGCCGCGCTTGGCCCCGCCCCTTCTCCGCCCCGTTCTCGCGCAGGCGCGTGGCGGCCGTCACGTTCCAGGGACGGGGGCGGGGCAGAGGGCGCGTCAGTGACGTAACGACGCGGGGCGGGGCGGCGGGGCACGCGCGCGTCGGCAGGGGGCGCGCGGCGCGCGGCGCGCCGGGGTGACGGGGGTGTGGTTTCTTCTTGTGACGTCACTCCGGTAGAGGCCACGCCTCTTAAAGCGGCAGTGTCCCCCATGAGAGGGCGGGAGGGGAAGGTGYGGGTGCTCGGGATGTCGTGGGAGTGGTTGGGAGGTGGGCGCAAGGTCCACGCTGAGCGTTGTGGGTGTGTCCCCATTCCAAGCTGCCCGGCCTCGCTGAGGAAAACGCCATCGCTTCTTCTAAAACACCAGTTTTTATTAATGAAACAACCAAAAGATGGGGAGGGGGGCGGTGTCCCCTCCAGACCGAGGGGGCGGCGGGGGTCGGGGTCACCAGCCCGGGCGGGACGCCGCGTTGAGGGGGGGGCACAGCCATGTCCGGTGCCCCTGCCCACCCCGTCACTCCGGGTCTGGCCGCGCTGGGGTGCCGGGACGCGCAGGGGGGACGCGCTGGTGGCGGAAGGGATCCCCCCGGGGAGGGCGAAGCAAGCGGGGGCCGGGGGGACACGCAGCATGCTGGGGGCACGGGGGGGACACGTCCCTGCGTGGTGGGAGACACGGGGGTGCGGGGGGACCAGCCCTGTGCTGGGTGGGGGGCGAGGGCGGGAGGGTTACCCAAGCCCCTCGCCCACCCCCCGGGGCTTTGTCCCCTCCCCGGGGAGTCCTGTCCTYACCTGGGGGTCCCCACAGTGCTGCTCCCCCTGCCTGTGTCACTTCTCCATCGCGGGGACTGTGGGGACTGCTATTTTCCCCCTGCGGGGGGCTGGGGGCAAGGATGGAGCCCGAAGGGCAGGATAGGGTCCAGCGACCCTCGCTGGCTCGGGGGCCGGGGGGGCAGGATGGGGTCCAGGGACCCCCACTGGCTCAGCCTGTCATGAGCCCAGTGCGGGGGGCTGGGTGACAGTGGGGCTCGGGCAGAGCCCACGGGGGTCCGGGTGGATTGGGGGGGTGGYAGAGGGGTGGCCGGTGCCCAGGTGGGTCCTGCCAAGCGCTCGGCTTGAATCTCCTTGGGAGAGGTGTTCCCAGCCCGTGCCGGGGGCCGGTGGGCACGGGGGGGCCCGGGAGGGGTGGCTGCAGCGCCCAGCTCCACGCTGCCCACACCTAGATGGACACCTCATATTCCCTCGTGTCCTGCAAAGAAAACAGACTGCAAGGGGTTGGACACCCCAGGGATCGGGCATCTCCCATCCCTTAAGGACCTGGGGGCACATCCCAGACCACACATCCCTGGGGATGCGTGTCCCATCCCACATGTGGTGCTTGGATGGATGTCCCATCCCATACACGGRTCCTGGATCAATGTCCATCCTGTGCATGGTCCCTGGATGGATATCCCAGACAGTGTGTGTGGTCCCTGGATGGATCCCCCACCCCGCAGGTGGTCCCTGGATCGATGTTCCATCCTGTGTGTGGTSCCTAACTGGGTGTCCATCCTGGGAACGGTCCCTGGATGGATAAATCATCCCAAGTGTGGTGTCTGGGTGAGTGTCCCACCCCCTGTATGGCTCCTGGATGGATGTCCTTCCTAATGCATGGTTCCTGGGACACATGACCCCATCCCAGACCGGTCCCAGCCCATGCACAGCCCCTGGCAGGGGGGTGTGGGGGCCGGTACTTACTCCTGTCTCGTAGGTGGGATTGTCAAAAGCCGACTCCACGGTGATGTGGTCATAGGGGTGAGAGCCGGCGAGGGGCAGCTGCAGSGCCGGCTTCCCCTGGAACCTGTGGGGACAGGGCAGCTGCAGTGGGCAGCGGGGAGTTGTGGGGACCCCATGGGGTGAGAGGGGCCGGTGGGCCACTCACTTGGAGAAGTAGAGATAAATGCCCCCGATGAGCAGGGCCACCACGAGCACGGGCAGGAAGACAGCGATGGCAACGTTGGTGCCCTCCAGCGTTGTCCCCGAGGGCACGGCCTTGGCCACAGCTGTCCGGGAGAGTTGGGGGCTCACCGAGGGGACACCCCACACCCTGGGTGCCCCATCCACCCCAGCACACCCTCGCCCTTACCGTCCAGGTTGCGGTTGCTGTAAAACTCATCGTAGGAGGCTGCGGAAGGTGGAAGAAAGAAACCAACAGCGGGGGTGAGAAATGGGGTGCCGAGCGGTGCTGGCGGGGTGCTGGGGTGGGGGGCGGTCCTCTCACCCGCCTTGCAGATGGGAGGGGAGCCGCTCCAGCGCGAAGGGTGCCCGGGCAGGCAGCGCAGGCTGCCCTCGCCCAGCAGCGCCCGGCCGGCCGTGCAGGAGAAGTGTAGGGTGGCTCCCGCCGGGTACAGCCGCCGCTCCGGGTTCTGCCGCCCGCCCGCCGGCACGCCGGGGTTGTGGCAGGGCTCGTACGTCTCCGCTGCGGGGCAGTGGTACGGAGGTCAGAGCTCGCCATCGGTTTSGGGGATGTGCCCGGGGAGGGAGTGCCCGACTCACGGATGCATTTAGGGAGGCGGTCGCTCCACTTGGGTCCCCCCGCAGCGCGGTCGTGGCAGGTGAGGGTCCCGGCGCCGGCCAGGACATACCCCTTGTCGCAGACGTACTGCACGGTGGCTCCCACCGGGAATTTAGGGTTGGAGACCACCCTGCGGCTGTGCTCAGCATCCCCGGGGTCCCGGCAGGTTGTCACTGCAGGCAAGAGTGACCGATGGTGAGGGTGGCTGGGGACGCGTCACAGGGCAGGGGGTCACTGGTGGGCAGCGCTCACCCCGCTCGCAGGAGGGCAGGTCACCGCTCCACGTCAGGTCCCAGTGACACATCAGGAGGTCAGTGCCGATCAGCTGGAAGCCRGGGTAGCAGTGGAAGGTGACCACTGTGCCGTGGAGAAGCTCTGGCTGTGAGGATGTCTTCCAGCCATTGGCGATTTCCGGCAGCTCGGGGCAGGTGTCGTTACGGGGAACCTCTGTGGGCACGGAGGGGTGAGCAGGGCAGTGGGGACAGTGCTGACATCGGTGACGCTGTCCTGCCGTGGGGCTCACCGGAGAAGTGGATGACAAAGCCCTGCCGATAGGCAAAGGCACCAGCCCCGGGGTCAGACTGGAACTGGACGGTGACATCGGCAGTGGACGCGTAGAGCTTGAAGCGGCCACGGGCGCCCGTGTACTGGCCCAGGATCCGCGCCGTCAGGTCGTCCCCATCATAGAAGGTCAGCATGTCCCCCGAGCCCAGCCGCAGCCTGGGGCAGTGGGGCCGTGAGGCCGGGAAGGGCACAGACCCCCCATCCCCATCCCATCGCCCCCATCCCGGCCATCCCAACACTCACACGCGGACRTCCAGCATGATGCGCTTGTCCTCCTCCACGTGCAGCCCCCAGATGCAGTCCTGGCCCTTGCCGTACGCCTCTGGCCAGTTGGGCGACAGCACCACTCCGGCCGTGTCTGTCAGCTCCCCGCTGCACACCGCTGCGGGTGCACGCCGGGCTCAGCACTGCCACGGGGCACCCACCACCACAGCATCCCAGCTCCATCCCCTACCATCCCTGTCGGCTCCAGCTCCTACTGCGTCCCTCAGCTCCAGCACACACAGCACCACCAGGGCTGCAGTGTCCCTCACGCCCCGCCCACAGCACCCCCAGCACCCACGGCACCCTCCAGCAGCGGCACCCACCGCGGCACGCTGGTTCTGTCTCATTCCACTGCGGGTCATTGGGGTCAACGCACTCGATGATGGTGGAGCCCTGYTCCAGGGTGTAGCCRGGGTCACAGCTGAACTCCACCGTGGTGCCCACAGGATACCGGGGATCACTGGTCGTGAAGTTCCCATACTTGACGAAGGGCTCGTAGCAGTGTCCCTGCTCAAAGGCTGCAGGCAGAGGGGCAAAGGTCTTCAGGGGCCAGGTGGGCACGGGGATGTTTGGGTTCCCCGCCACGCCCCAGCCCCATACCCTCGTAGCGCAGCGCCATGCCCGCGGCGGCCCCRCTGCTGTCGGTGGTGAGCTCCACGAAGAAGTGGCGCCCGGTGCTGAGCAGCCCCTCGATGGGCAGGTACTCCACCTCGTAGGAGTCGTACACCGGCGGTGCCTCCACATTGTTGCCGTTGCGGATGATGAGCCTGCCAAGGTGTGACAGGGGTGGGTTCAGTGCTGGCCATGGCCAACAACACCATCCTTGGGCATGGATGGTAGCCCCTAACCCCAGCCATGGCCAGCAACACCATCCTTGGGCATGGATGGTAGCCCCCAGCCTCAGCCATGGCCAGCAGCACCACCCTTGGGCATGGATGGTAGCCCCCAACCCCAGCCATGGCCAGCAGCACCACCCTCGGGCATGGCCAAAGGTTGTCCTCCTTGATCCTAACCAACAGTATGTCCTTGACCATGGCCAAAAGTAGCCACTCTTGGCTATAGTGAACAACACCCATCCTTAAATAAGACTGATGTCACCCATCCATGGGTATAACCAAGAGCACTCATCCTTGAACACAGCCCTGGGCAGGGCTGCCCCAGGGTGCACCCACATCCCCAGCCCACCCAGTTTCCTCCAGAGCCAAACCTGTCATCATCCTCCGCCAGTGACACCTTCTCGAAGTGCAGGTGCAGGCGGTGGGCATCTGGCGCCTCCAGTAGCCAGTGGCACGTCAGGTTGTTGCTGTAGTTCCCAGGAAAGCCGGGCGAGACGATGCGTCCCACCGTGGCGTTCCGGATCACCCCACCACACGCCGCTGTGGGAGAGGCACCATCAATGGAACACTGTGCCGTGCCAGCTGTCCCGTGTCCCATGTGCCGCTGCTTACCGAGACAGAGGGGCTCGCGGGCGCTCCAGAAGGGACGGGTGGCGTTGCGGCAGAGGAGCCGGCGGGCGCCCTGCAGTTGGTATCCCGTGGAGCAGCGGAACCGGGCATCCCCACCAGGGTGCAGGCTGCTGACCGACACCTCCCCGAAAGCCGGCCGTGCCGGGAAGGGGCAGCTCAGCAGGTAGGCTGGAGGCAGGTGGTGATGTTACCAAGGATGAGGGGCAATGGAAACCCCCAAAACACAGAACCTGCCACCCTAAAGCCCTGGAAATGCCTGGGTGTGGCAGAGYTGAGTGACAGTGTCTGTGGCTGCCGAGAATAATGGTAAATGAACCCATAATTGCTAAGGCAAATTAGCTCTCCATAAGCATTCCTTGCTGGTCAGTACCCGTTTATAACCCATCAGCAACACAAACATCATCGGATCGTGGTGCATCACCAAATCAGCTGGCAGGGAACCTCCCGGMGGGGACAGAGGGGTCTGAGCCCCATACCTTGGTAGTGAAAGTGGTAGGATCCAGGGCTGGGGGGCCGGGGGCTCTGGAAGCGGAGGGTGAGGAGGTTGGCTGGGCTGCGGATGACCTGGCCCCGCAGCAGGAAGGATTCATTGGCCAGGAGGTTGGGCTCCAGGCCCGCCGCGCTCTCCACCGTCAGCGTCTCCCCTTCTGCCAGGCTGATRTTCTCTACCTGCAGGGGACACAGGTGTCACCAACCGCAGCATCACCTGGCTCTGGCTCAGAGCTGGTCCTTGAGCGGCTTCTCCGTGGTCAATAGCTCGCTGGAGCTTGTCCGTGCSGGGCAGCACCTTTCAAACATGGTTAGCGGTGCCATAAATCATCCCCCACGCCAAAACCAGCAGGGCCCAGCCAGCAGCTCCCCTGGAGCACGGCGGCACAGCCAGGCCCGCGCCAGCAGCCTCGCAGACAGCCAGCCTCGCCCTCTGGAGCAATTTGCTATTAATGATGTTAATTAAGCCGTGCTGCATGCTGAGGAGCAGCAGCGCTGGTGAATGTGGGCTGGAGCAGAGCTGGTGGTGGAGATGCTGCCTCCGGTTCTTTGCCGGCTTTTGAGCCACGGCACTGCCCCGCGGTGGCTTTGGCAGGGATGGGGACACGTAGCCATGGGAGCAGCACATGGCCTCAGCACAGCAGGGTTTGCTGTCAGCCCCTGCTCCTGGCAGATGGRCKCTGGKTGTTCCTGGCCCYGCTGGCACCTGCTGGCACYGCTCACACCTTCCTCATCAGGGCTGTTAATTAAACCCCGTGTGGCGCTTCTTTGCGATGGGTGCCAGCCACGGCAGCTGGTGGGCACGGAGCATCCTGGGCACCCCACCAGGGTGTACCCACACCCCTGTGCTGGGGCCTGAGGGTAGGCAATGCCCTGAGCCAGCTCTCTTGGCTTGGGGACGCAGGAATGGGGACAAGGACAGGGGCGAGACCATGTGTTTGCTGCACCCTGCTCTGACAGAGTAGGGGACACACCACACCTGTCTGCAGGCTCTGGGCACCCTGTCCCACCCTCAGCTCACCTTGAGCTCCACGCCATAGCCAGGGTAGACAGAGATGGTGTAGGTGCAGTCCAGGCTGCCATCATAGGCGACACCGGTTGGCTCTGGGGACACCAGCCAGCCCTCGGGACCCGCCAGCGTCCGGTTGCAGGGAGCTGGYGACAAAAGAGACCCCAGCTCAGCCCCAGGTCACCCCAGCTCCACCTGACTCCRTCCCTAGCACTCACCTGGCCCCTGCAGYGTGGTGACAGTGGTGGTGGTRATGGTGGAGGTGGTGGTGGTCCCCTCCTCATCCCCGGGCACGGCAGCAGCCCCGGTGCGGGGTGCCAGGGATGTGCCGGCCGTGGTGGGTGCCTGGCTGGGGGATGCAGTGCTCGACTCTGGCACCCCRGGGGGGGACCACGAGGGGTCTGCCCCCGGCACAGCCCCCCACGCCTCCCCCCATGGCCCGGCACGCCCGGCTGGCGTGGTTAGCGGGTCAGTGGGGAAGGCGGGCCGGGGCAGGGCAGGTGTGCGGGGTGTAGGCTCGGGTTCTGGGGGTCCAGGGGCYGGCTGGAGGGCACCGGCGGGGAGGAGGGGGCCGGCGCCAGCGGGCAGGAACGGCGCCTGGGCCAGGTAATCCTTCTTCAGGAAGGCTTCGTGCAGMAGGTCCTCCAGCAGCGGGTGGTGGTTGAGGATCTTGAGCGTGGGCGCCGTGCTCACAAAGCGAGCCTCTGCCTCCCGCTCCGCCGGCGTGGGCAGCGCCGTCGGCTCCACCTCAGCGCTCTCCCCGGTCTTCCTCGCCAGCCCGTTGAAACCTGGAGGGGGGGAGGGAAGAACGTGGGATGCTGGGGAYCTGCGGGCTGGTGCTGCGCTGGGGACTGACAGGGTGATGCACTAGGGAGTGATGCCTCATCACACCCCGACACTGCGCCCTCRGGGGCACTTGGAAACAACGCCTGGACAGGGACCGGTGCTGTGTCGGGTTTGGATGCAGCTCTGGTGCAGGGACACAGATCTGTGCTGCGCTGGGAACCGACACTGCCCCGTGGACCAACCCTGCACCACGGGCTGGTGCTGCTCCGAGGATTAACGCTTCCCTGCACGCCGATATTCCCCCAAAAAACGGGGTGGCAAACGAGCGCATCGACCGCACGCAGTGGGACCGTGACACCCAGCACACCCTTCGCTGGGGCAGCCCTGGCGACTAAGCCGTGACTAATTAATGCACATCTGCAGCTTGAAGGGGTGCCCACACCTCGTGTGAGCCAGCCCTGATGGGGACAGCCCAGGGATTGGGCGTCCCTGATCACAGATTATCCTTGTCCACAGCGGTGGCCGTCCTGTGCCAGTTCCCCAGTGACTGCGCAGGTGATTGCCACGACTGCCATGGCTGTGCCAGGAATGTCACCGGAGCCTCGGAGCCTCAGCTTCCTTCCAGCCAGGCTGTCCCTGAGCAGCGTGAACCTACAGGAGACCCCCACCCCATCAATGGTCCCCCCTCTCTCTCGAGAAACCGCAGGGATTCCCCTGCCACAACCCCGTGTTCCTCCCAGGCATTAGTCCCTGATCAAATCCCCAGCATGCCCAGCCCAGCCGCTTACAGCCTTTAGACCAAAAATAAAAGAGAATTTAATCAGCCCTAATGAGTCACCCAGCATCTCCCGCTCCTGGATCTGGCACAGCACCGTCCTCTCCCGCGCTGGGCGCAGCTCGGTGTCCCCAGCCCGGCCGTGCCACACCAGAGGGGATGCCACGGTGACACTCAGTGTCCCTCTGAAGTCCCGGTGTGGGGCTGGAGGCCACGGTGGCGCGTGGGCACGTCTTGCCGCCGTGCACAGGCACTGATGACACGATACTGCCAATTACCGGGTAATTATCCCTATCCGTAGCAGGGCAGGGCCCCGCGAAGATTAATTACTCTGCAACTGCCGCTTTTAAGGGACTATTAAGAGACATTATCTTGGGTGTGCAGTGTAGTGGGGAGCTGCTGGGTGCTGGCAGGTGTCCTCACACCCCTGGTACCCACCCCGTGTCCCCATCACCCCGGGACAATAATGATGCCCTGGACGCAGAGACACGGCAGGGACACCTGCCCACACCAGCTCCGAGAGAGGTTCGTTTGCCCCCCAGCAAGGCCAGAATTATATTTTAATAGGATCCATTTATTAGAACATAAAAGTTAATGAGTTTATGCTGAAGGGYGCCAAAATCTCCGTTAGGCTTTAATAGCAGATTAGTGCTCGGGGCTGGGCCACTGCCCCACGCAGTGAAGGCTGGGCTGGAGATGCCCACGGAATGTCCAGGGGGTTGGGTGGGCACGGTGGCCACCATGGGGGCTACTGAGTGAGGCCAGGGCTCACAACAAGGGTCCCATAACAGGTCTGGTCTGGATGCTCTGCACACATTGTTGGCCCCAGTGCTGCTCTGGGTACCACAGGATGCTCTTGGCACCCAGGGATGCTCGGGACTGGGGATGCAGGATGCTCAGGACACCGTGGGAAGGCAGCAGGTGCCCAGCTGCTGCCACCCATGCCCCGTGAACACCACGGGATTAGAGCCTCCATCTCCACAGATGTCTTTAAGCAGCTTATCCCCAGTGCCACAGCCATGTCCCTCCCGTGTCCCCAAGGTGACCAGGGACGGCTGACACGGGGCTGGCTACCCAGCACACACCCCTCTGGGCCCTGGCATGCTGCAGGGACCTCGCTGAACTCGGGGTGGGCAAAGGGTCCAGCAAGTCCCCTGCAGCCTTTGCCTGTTGGGATCCTCAGCACGCTGGCCACGTGCCCACGGTCGCGGCCGGGACGGGGTCCTAATCCCTCCCGTTGGCTTTGTCGGGTGGGAGTTTATTAACAGCAGCCGGGAGATGCCAGAGACTAATCCGGCTGCGGCGGGCGGAGGCCCCCCCGGCGGGAATCGATGCTGCCTGCTGTCACAAATAAATAAATAAGGCGGCACGCGGCCGCCCAGGGAGCACCGATCGATGCTGCCCGCCAAGAAAGCAATAACAGAGTGCCCAGCTCAGGGAGGGGACAGGGCAGGGCCCTCGGCGGCCCTGGGAGTATCGCAGCACCGTGGCACAGCGGTGTTCCGTGCCTCAGTTTCCCCGTCTGTAGGAGGGGGCGGGCGGGAGGTGCGGACAGCCGGGTGCCTGGCACAGGGCRAGGGCAGGGGCTGGGCCTCACAAGATCCTAGGTTTATTTTCTAATTTAAAATCCAATCTGGCTTTGCCCCCATGGCCAKGGCCGGCAGCTGTGATGAATGAGCTGTCAGGCAGCCGACGCCACGCTCCCTCACCCACAACCTCCCTGTCCCACGGCCCCCAGCCCCCAAACCATCCCCATCTTTCCCAACAACCACAGGAGAGGGAATGTACCCTGTTGATGCCAGATCCCTGTCTGTCACCTGCCCTGGTGGTATTGGGGACCCCAGGCAGGGAGCAGGGCTGGCTTCCAGGTGTGGGGGCAGCGTGGGCAGGGGCAGGGGGTGGGTGCAGATGGGTGCAGGGGGTGGATGAGTGGGCAGAGACAGGCAGGAAGTGCAGGTGAGTGCAGGGTTAGGGAGCCTGAGGGGGTGGTGGGGGAGGGTGCAGGGAAAAAATCATGCAGTGTTCAACATTAACCAGCTTGTTTGAGGCTGCCGGAACGCTCGAGAGGCACAGGGAAGGTTTTGGTTTGGGCAGTCCTGGTGCCTGCACTGGACACCAGACATGGTCCCTGCTGAGCMTAAATAGTGGGGAGCTGCCAAATCTCACCTGATCAGGGAGTGGGGCTGGGTGCTTCCTTGGCTTTTTGTGCAAGACAGACACCCCAGACTAGAGCAGAGCAGGGTGGAGAGGGAATCCAGCTGCTCTCATGGCTCCTGTGGCTGCTCCTTTCCTCTCCGTGAGCAGGGTGGAGAGGGAAT